AGACCCCCGTCACACAGTTGCCAGTCTTGAGGCCTCCTCCACATCAGGCTGAGGCTGGGAGAGATATGGGGGGGGGGAAACAGCCTCAATTACTTGCATGCTTGGCTAAAGACCTCCCCACCACCACCACCACCAAAGGGTCCACGTCCTGCCCCCAACATTTGTCGACGCCACCAGAAGACTCCGCAGGACGAGGATGTGGGACCCCGACATCCGGCGTCTTCTTGCTCAGAAACCCCAACCAGCTGCTTTGTGGGGGGGGGCTCCTGAGCTGCAGACGGAAGCCTTGACCTGCGAAGGGCCTTTGCGGGGGGGGGGGTGTCTGCTGCTTCCCCCAACTGGGTGGGGACACCGAACCTTGAAGCTCAAGAGCCCTCAATGGACCTGCCCTCCCGTCCCTTGCGAAGCTTGTCCAAAACAGCACAGGGTCTCCTGCTTGAGCAGAGGGTTGGACTAGATGACCTCCGAGGTCCCTTCTGACACTGTCATCCTGTTATTCTGCCGCCCTCCGCCCCCCGTGGCAGGGAGGGGAGGGAAGTAACCAGGTTACTAACTCAACAAGTGCAGTGATTCGCTTAACAACGGTGGCCTGCAAGGTCGTAAAATGGGCAAAACTCACTTAACGACGGAAATTTAGGCCGCGCTTGTGGTCGTTAAGCCGAGGACTCCCTGTATTCTGTATTCTGATTTCGGGCAGGGGCTGGAATGACTCGAGGCAGGAGGGAGAACGATGCCCCCCCCAGCCAGGCGCCCACCCCCCATCTCCACCCTGGGACCCGGACCCAAACAGGGTCTCCCTGGTCAATTCTCCCCCCCCCCCTTGGCCGGACTTTCATCTGGGTGGACGATACAAAGGAGGGGCAGAGACGGAGCCGCAGACGCTTGTGGGGAGGGAGGGCAACGGACGGCAGAGACCGGACAGCCGTTTGTCTGAAATGGCCTGGGGTCTTCTGCCTGAGCAGGGGGCTGGACTAGAAGACCTCCGAGGTCCCTTCCAGCTCTGTTGTTAGCTATCATAATAATAATAGTAATAGTAATAATAGTAATAATAATAAAGTTGGAAGGGACCTCAGAGGTCATCTAGTCCAACCCCCTGCTCAGGCAGGAAACCCTACACCATTACGGACAAATGGCTGTCCAGTCTCATCATCATCATCATCATCATCATCATAAAGTTGGAAGGGACCTTAGAGGTCATCTAGTCCAACCCCCTGCTCAGGCGGAAGACCCCAGGCCATTTTAGACAGTCTGGTCTCGAACTGCTTCCATCCTGCGACGATATCTGTAATACCATCAAACATCCACATCTGCCTATCCCAGGTCCTGGGTAAGGACTCAATAGGTAGACAAAATGCCAAATCCAGTCTGAACATCTGGCTGACTGTGCGATGATCCATAACAACAACAACAACAACAACAACAACAACAACAACAATAATAATAATAATAATAATAATAATAATAATAATAATAATAATAATAATAATAATTGAAGAAAGAGACCGAGGGACTAATTCTGGCTGCACAAGACCAAGCCTTAAGGACAAATGCATAAGACAGCAACGGACAGTAAGTGCCGCCTATGCAAAGAAGCTGAAGAAACATTGGACCACCTGGTAAGCTGTTGCAAGAAGATTGCACAGACTGACTACAAGCAGCGGCATGACAAAGTAGAAACAATGGTGCATTGGAAGATCTGCAAAAAATATCATTTGCCTGTAAGCAAAAACTGGTGGGATCATAAAATAGAGAAAGTCATAGAAAATTATAAAATTAAAGTGCTCTGGGACTTCAGAATTCAAACAGACAAGCACTTGCAACATAACACCCCAGACTTAACAATTGTTGATAAGAAAGATAAAAAAGTCTGGATAGTGGACGTGGTAGTGCCTGGAGATAGCAGAATAGAAGAGAAAGAACTGGAGAAGATAACAAAATACAAAGACCTAGAAATAGAAATAGAAAGACTGTGGCAAAAGCAAGCAAGGGTGGTACCAATAGTCATAGGCTCCTTGGGTGCGATCCCAAAACAACTGGAGCACCACTTGAACACCATTGGCATTGACAAATTCGCTATTAGTCAATTGCAAAAGGCGGCCTTACTAGGAACTGCTTCCATCCTGCGACAATATCTGTAATACCATCAAACATCCACATCTGCCTATCCCAGGTCCTGGGTAAGGACTCGAAAGGTAGACAAAATGCCAAATCCAGTCTCAACATCTGGCTGACTGTGCGATGATTAATAATAATAATAATAATTAAAAAAAAATTGGAAGGGACCTTGGAGGTCATCTAATCCAACCCCCTGCTCAGGCAGGAAACCCTACACCATTTCGGACAAATGGCTGTCCAGTCTCTTCTTAAAAACTTCCAGTGTTGGAGCATTCACCGTTTCTGGAGGTGGGTTGTTCCTTATCTAAGCTGCAGTGGCGGATCTGGCCAGGATCTGGCCTCAATCAAAGCAGGGCTGCGTCACAGCCGGGCAACCATCGCACAATGTAGGCGAGGGGGTGGGTGCGGGGGTGGGTGAGGAGGGGTGTCAATCAAAGCGAATGCCAACTCTCAAAGGCCAAGGATGAGCTCAAGAAATTGATCCAGCTGAGCAGCCCTGCCAGCCGACGGACGGAGAGAGTGGCATGGAGAAAGCAGCTCATCAAAAGATTAAATCCATTTCTTTGGAGGGAGGAAGCTGGGGGCAGTGGCTGGGGGGGACTCTGGGGGGGGTGTTCCTCCCCCACAACAAGGACCGGCCCTACGTGGGGTCTTTCCTTCCCCATATCTGTTGAGGTGTCGAGGCGGGGAGCCAAGCTGCGTGGGTGGTGGCTGAGATCACTCCATCCATCCATCCATCCCTCCCTCCCTCCGTCTGTCTGTCTGTCTGTCCACCCACCCATCCGCCTTGCTTGACTGAAGGATGTAGCCCCTACGGGCGGTCCTCAACCTATGACGAAATTGGGACCAGAACCTCCGTCGCTAAGCCATGTGGCTCTTAAGTGAATCGCAGGGGTCTAGCGTGGGGGAAGCAAATCTGGCCTCCTCCGTTGAATTTGCTACTCAGAAGCCCCCCAGGAACGTTGCAAATGGCGGTCACAAGACCCTGGGACTCTACCACCCTCTGTAATAATAAAGGCAGGAGACCCCCTACCACTCCAGACAAGTGGTCTCTTCGTAAAAGCCTCCAGTGATGGAGCACCCGCAACTTCTGGTGGCGAGTAGTTCCACTGGTTAATTGTCCTCACTGTCAGGAAGTTTCTCCTTAGTTCTAGGTTGCTTCTCTCCTTGATGAGTTTCCATCCGTTGCTTCTTGTCCTGCCTTCAGGAGCTTTGGAAAATGGCTTGACTCCCTCTTCTTTGGGGCAGCCCCTGAGATATTGGAACATGGCTATCATGTTCCCCCTCGTCCTTCTTTACTCTAGACTGGCCAAAGCCAAGTCCTGCAGCTGTTCTTTTAGTCTACAGGCCTTGGATCCTCTTAGTTGCTCTTCTCTGCACTCTTTCTAGAGTCTCAACATCTTTTTTTACATTGTGGCAATGTAAAACGGGTGCAGCATGATGTTCCCCCCCCCCGCACCAGGTCTCCAGCAAGGGGGGACGTGACAGCCAGTGTTACAATATCTGAGGGGCTGCCACAAAAAAGAGGGGCTCAAATTAGTTTCCAAAGCCCCTGAAGGTAGGACAAGAAGCAACGGATAGAAACTAATCAAGGAGAGAAGCAACCTGGAACTAAGGAGAAACTTCCTGACAGTGAGAACAATTAACCAGTGGAACTACCTGCCCCCCAGAAGTTGTGAGTGCTCCATCACTGGAGATTTTTAAGAAAAGACTGGACAGCTATTGGTCTGGAATGGTATAGGGTTTTCTGCCTGAGCAGGGGGGTTGGACTAGATGACCTCCAAGGTCCCTTCCAGCTCTGTTATTCTATTCTATTCTATTCTATTCTATTCTATTCTATTCTATTCTATTCTATTCTATGTTCTTTTCTATTTTCTATTCTATTCTATATTCTATTCTATATTCCATTCTATTCTATTCTGTTCTGTTCTGTTCTAATTCTATTCTATTCTATTCTATTCTCCATTCCATATTCTATTCTAATTCTATTCTATTCTATTCTTTTCTATTCTATTCCTATTCTATTCTATTCTATTCTATTCTATTCTATTCTATTCTATGTTCTTTTCTATTTTCTATTCTATTCTATATTCTATTCTATTCTATTCTCTGTTCTGTTCTATTCTAATTCTATTCTATTCTATTCTATTCTATGTTCTTTTCTATGTTCTTTTCTATTTTCTATTCTATTCTATATTCCATTCTATTTTGTTCTGTTCTGTTCTGTTCTAATTCTATTCTATTCTATCCTATCCCATTCCATTCCTTCTTCCTCGTCCTCCAAAGCTTGTCAGAATTTCATTCTTCAGTCTTTCCCACAAAGGGCTGACCGTTCATGAGGTCTGGATTGCAGCTGCTGCGGGGCAGAGGGGGATGGGAGTTGTAGTCCCATCAGGTCGGAAAAACCCTGTCTGGGGAAAGCTGAGCAATTTCTCTCTCCCCCCCCCCCTGATGTGTAGCAATCACAGGCACATTCCTCTGGGTGTGAATTCACCCTGGGCCGTGTGTGCCTTCTGACACCGCCACCCCTGTCCCGGCACACGCCGCTTCCCTGCCAGGACCCCTGGCCTTCTGCAACTCAACGCTCACCCACAAAAAAGCCACCCTCGCCGGAGAAAAGCCGCCAGGCAAAAATCAGGCACGCCCGGGCAGATAAACGGCTGGCTAGGCAGATGCACGTCTTGGGAATCCGGTACATGGATCCGTGCGAGAAGAGCAATGCGCAGGAAAGAAAAGGAATGTGCATTGGCCAAATTTTCTGCCCAGGCGACGCCGAAAGGACCAGGAAAAAGCAGAATTCAAACTTTGCACCTTGCAAAAAAGAAAAAAAACCCACTCCCCTCCAAACTCTCTCTCTCTTGCCCCTCCCCAACAGGCACTCCCCC